ACCTATAAAACGCGTGGGCGCAGTATTACGCATCACCAACCGGAAAGAGAGAGAGAAACAACTGAACAGTAAAAAAGAAATAAAGAAAATCCGAGCAGCAGCTTTATTTTATTTAAAGGTTCTTCGTTCTGGTCAATGCAGCATCCGCAGGATGGATAGGTAGTGTTAATACAGACATCACCCCACACCTGTATGATGATATAAAAAAATTTAAATGCAGGCTGTAAGAAGTAATTAAACTGGGGTTAAATAAAAGCCTTTTTAAAAATACAAATTACCTGGAATTATGCCCTGATGATGACGCATCTTAAAGTTGTGTATTGATTACGGGGGCGTCATTTGGCTTAAATAGAGAGGAGAGGAAGCCGAAGTCCATCCTCCTGACAGAGCTGGATCCTGCTGCACATCCCAGCTGTTTGCAATGGTAGGTGACGTCGTCAGCGTCGGAGGGATTCCCTCCTCGCGCTGATCGTTGTAGAACAAGCTCGCGTGGACGCATTTATTCATTTAGTGAAGATTTTTGTTTGAGTTTGATAAAAATGTGAGGCAGACATTTGTAGCAAGGAGACCTGCAGTTTTTATTTATTTTGACTACTTCTAAGAGTAGCCAATAAGAGATGTATGCATCTGTTCCACGTGTCTGTCGGACGCTTCTGTTTTCCTTTATTTGCCGGACTTTGATGTTTCCTTGCACTCACCGTTGGTACTTTTCTCGTTTCTTTCCAGATGATGTTATCGGTGCTCTCGGTGGTGCTGCTCTCCGTTGGAGTCGACAGCGTGGCCATGACCTTTGAAAGCAGAGACCCCATCACCGGGTCGCCAGTGAGCTGTGACCGCTGTCCCCCTGGGACATACCTGCGATCTCAGTGCTCGTCCGAGAGGAAGAGCGACTGCGCAAAGTGTCCGCACGGCTCCTTCACTGAGGTGTGGAACCACATCGGGAGGTGCCTGCGCTGTGGAGTCTGCAGTCACAATCAGGTGGTGAAGACCTTGTGCACAGCGGACAGAGACTGCCAGTGCCAGTGCAAACCGGGGTACTACTACAAGCCGCAGTACGATATGTGCCTCCCACACAGCGCGTGTCCACCCGGACAAGGAGTGCGGGCCAAAGGTAGAGCGCGCGGAGCACCTGCACGAGCTCAGAGCTTTCCATCACAGGGGAATGTGTTTTCTGCAGCGCATATTTTGAGGTGTCATAGCAGCAGTTAAGTTTCCTCCTATGACGCATCGAAATTGCCGCTCTGCTGTGTAAAAGGGCAACAACTCAAAATAGCTGCTTCCTGAATTATGTGCCTATTTATAGACCAGCATGTTACAACAATGACACTGTTTCTTTGACACAGATGACATCTTCAGATACTAAACATAAAGTTTCGACTCATTTGAACTATCTAAGCAAATACAAACAGTCTTTATGACACTGTCATTCTCCCCACACTGCAAACATTCTGTGTAATTTGAATTTTGCCTGCAACAGCTACCAGTCAGTTGTCTTGGCCATCTTACAGCTTTTGGTTTTTATACTGAAAAGCCAACAAAGAGCAGGATTGCTTTAGGAAGCTGTAGGTCAGGGGTGTCAAACTCAAATACACAGTGGGCCAAAATTCAAAACTGGAACAAGGTCGCGGGCTAACGTTAATATTTATTGAAGAAAAAAAAACTTCCTTCAGATTTAAGAATGAATCTCTTCTTAGGGACTCAAGTTTTGCTGAAAAACTGAATATGGAACAAGCAAAGCTTAATACTAAACAATATATATATATTAGCTGTAATAATAATTTGGTATGGCTTCGCGGGCCAAATGTAATTAGGCGGGCCAGAGTTTGACACCTATGCTGTAGGTGCTGCTTTTTTGTCAGCATCGAACTGAAGCAAGTGCACAGTCTCAGTTTGAGTTTCAAGACTGTAGTTTGCTGCCACACAGGGGCAAAGACGGCAACTACATGTATTCATTCAGGGTGCAGGACCACCGAGAGTCTTAGCAGGACCACTGTTACACCTACTGCATTTTTAGCACATTGAGCTGAGGGCGACTTAGTTCAAAGGGTTTGGTTTTATTCCTTTCGATTAGCATGTTAATTGTTAACCTATCATGACTGATCTCAGGTGTCTTCATCAAAGTACTCATTACCTTTTCCAGGTACACCTGACGAGGACACCGTGTGCCAGACTTGCTCTGACGGCACCTTCTCCGAGGTTTCCTCTGCTCATCACAACTGCACAGAGCACAAGAGCTGCAGTGGTGCAGGGCTGGGGTTGGCACTGAGGGGCTCCTCCTGGCACGATAATGTCTGTGCAAACTGCAGAGATCTCAAAGGTGAGATGAGCGGTTTAAAAAGGCAAAAGGAGGCGAACGAATTTATTCAATCTGAAAAGAAACAGAAAGGAAGAAAATCTGAAAATGACGATGATTTTACAGGTGTTTACGTCAGCTCTCAGCGAGTGATCACAGACTTAAAACAAAGTAAAACAACTGTGTTCAAATAGCTTCTTCCTTCCACCTGGAACAGTTCCAGTAAATACAATAAACAGTTTCATTTTCATATCTCAAGGTGTGGAAATCACCTATAAGTCTAAGAATATCTGATGGCTTATTATCAGTTTCTATAATAATAATAAGAATGGCTGAAGGCCTTGTTACCATCTTGCTGTCAGAGCATTGCTCCATTTCTTTATCAGCTACTGACTGTCTGTACTTTTTGCAGATGGTGCCGACTACCTCAGAGAAATCCTCCCAGCTTTTTTTGTGCACCACAACATAAATATCAAGCGGCTGCGTCGAATTGTGCACAAGCTCCCGTCTCAGGATGGGAAGAGACCGGGAAGAAACACAGAGCTGAACTCCTCAGAGCTTCACCAACGGCTCAACACCTGGATAGCATCTGCGACAGCAGAGGAGATTCGGAAGCTTCCGTCAGTACTGACGAGCGCTGGAGCGAGCGGCGCTGGTGAGAGGTTAGACCAAAAGCTGCAAAGAGTCGACAGTCAGCTGAAAACTGAGTGTAGAGGGAATGAGGTGGAGATGGTTGATGCGCCAAAGTAGGTTGAGATTAAGAGAAAAATAAATAAATATATATCTCATGCACAGGCACCAAAGAATCTTCCTTGCGTATTGTTCGTATTAAAATCTTTTTGTATTAGAAAGTTGCTTCGTTAGTTTAAATGCACTGAAGACAGGCTTTGGCACTTTTTGTTACCATAAACATTGGTTTCATTTGAACATTAAGATTGTTTTGTCATTTTTTTTTGAACCAATCAAAAAAAGTAACCTCACTTTAGTTACAAAATGTTACATTTTTTAAATCCTTGATGTGCTACTAATAGTACATTTATGACTTATTTGTTACTTCTAGTATCTACTTGTGTCAGTTATCACTTTATATGTTCCCAGCAAAGTGACAATGTTTCACCTGTGTGTCTAAACTAACAAGCGCTGAATTTAAAAACTCCCATTTTTATTTCTGGAAGTGAAAACAGAAATCTGCTCCAGACTTAATAAAGAAATGCTGGTATTAACCTTTACAGGAGAAAAAATGGACCTACCTCTTTCTTTGTTGCAACGGTTCTGCTCATTTCAAGGGTTTTAAAGTTTTAACAATGTGTAACAGCTTGAAATGTGAACTTTGTAATTTATTTTGCTATTTATAATCCTGAGACGAGGAGAAAGAGAAGGTGGTGCAGCCTGTTAGCCATCTTTATTTTTATATGTAAAGAATGAGTTCAGTTTATTTTGAGCTGTTTTGGCTATGCTAGTCTACCTGAAGCTTTGTGTAATGCAAAATAAAATTAATATATCAAACATAAAAAGTGGCAATTTATTTCTTTAGTTAGTTTTTAAGGTCTCTCCAGTACCGAGAGTCATTTTTGTTGCAAGCCTGGCTTCAGAGACTGTAAGAAGAAAAACTGACCCCACCCTTCAAAATTTACAGATCCGTCTGCAGTGCCAGTTATGCAAAAAAATAAGTGAAAGTGTCACTTAAAAATGTAACCGAGGTGGGTTTAGCTCGGTGCGTTACATGGGCGACCACATGTCATACAGCTCACAGCGGCCGGCCCCACGGCCCTTTGTCACGTCTCTCTCTGCCCCCACTTTCCTGTCCGCTCCACACTTTGTTTATCTAAAGTTGGGAGAAGGCTGGAGAACTGGAGCCCTCACTCGTCTCAGTTTAGGTTACAATTCATGATTCAAACTAAAGGCCGGGAAAAGTGAAGCAGACTGTCCGTCCATCAGTTTGTGGCCTGAAGCTCAAACACAGTTGTGTTATGTGACAGGACAGTGGGTCAAACACACCAGCAAGCCTGCCTGTGAAAGCTTTCAAAAGCAAAAGAGGTTTCAGATGTTAATCCGATCGGACTCCTTCGGAATAACCTTGAATGGGATATTCAGTCTGCAAAAAAGAGTTTGCCAAAATCCCCCCAAACAGAATAAAGACTCCCTGACAGTTATTACAGACACTTGATTGCACCTCCTGCTGCCCAGTGTGGCACAACCAGTTATTAAGGTTTATCACGTCTTCACAGAGGGCCACGGAGCGTTGCTGCACACTACCTTATTACAATTAAGAAGATAAATGACTGGGAAAGCCCTCCAAGTCTCCAAACCACAGCAAAGACGGGATGTCGTCAGATGGTCTGAGCAACCCACAGAGGGATACACATGCATTAATGGTCAGCCAGTGTCACATGTTTGTCAGCCAGTAACATTATTCTCTTGTGACCTTTAAACGTACTTCCCGTTTCTGCTTCCAGCTTCCTTTTTTCTGACAGCTTTACAGCAGTTTAACTAAAGCACACAGTAAAACTGCCACCCAGTGTGCCACAGCATGTCCATCATAAGAGTCCACTCATGCTCACTGGGGTTTTTTTTAGTCATGGATCACAACTGAAGCTTAAATTCCACTGAGGAGATTTCTCCACTAATCCAAACACACACACTGTGGTTAACTAACATGCTTACGTTCGGTCAGCCACAGTGACTGTGTGTACGGCTGTTCAGATTATTTTGAAAGGAAAGGTTTATTTTG